TTACATTTAGTTCAGGAGGCAGTGAATTTTTTTCGTATTAATTTTTCCAGTCGGTGTATATGAAAATAAACTGTTCTCTTAGTGACAAAAACAAAATTGTTGAGTCTGACACTTATTTTCCCAGTCATAATTATTTTACATTTACTAAACTAAAACATAAAGCAGTTTGGATTATCTTAGATAGTGGAAAGTGAGTGTGGTAGAAAATTAAGCATATAAAATTGATACAATCATGAATAATAATAAGTCTGGCTGATTTACGAAATTGGCTAATGAGTCTGGTAACATCTTCTAAATCGAAAAAATATAATATTTTTGCTTTTATTTTCCCGGGTTTGAAAATTTGTCACGTGATAGATTAAATTATAATTTTACACCTCTATTTTATAGCCAATCAAATGCTGTTATTTTAAAACGCTTCCATGACAAACAGAAAAATTTCCGGAAATTTTTCTTTTGGTGGGTACCCTGAACGAAATTATACTGAAAAATTTTTTAACAGTTGAGCAACTCTTTCATGCATATAATATTACTACGCAACGCGATAGTGTGATTAAAAAATTTGCCATTTCAGTGGTTAATATTTTATTTAATACCAATTATAACTAGGTAGAAAAACACTACATTTATTTTAATAATAATTAGGTTTTTCGCGTCAACTAAACGACTTCAAATATGGCAAATGGTCATGGTATGGCCACAGCATATAAAACATATGTTTTATATTTTGTGGTATGGCCACCTTTGAAAATTTGATTTTAGTCGTTTTAATGCATATCTGTAAAGTTTTGAAATTTGTATATTTTGGTGTAAAACTTTCTTACCCAATACCACACGTGCCTAAATTATTATCAGAAAAATTTTGCCCACTTTTGTCACTTGTAGGGGATAAATGACAGGTGCGCGAAAATTAATTTGAATCGCGAATAGGCATTGAGACATTTCCTTGCTGCATTAGCGACAGAAGGGGTACAATAAATCTTTTAGGTCGCAGTGTATTAACACCCCATTCCCAAAATAACATAACATAGTGAGAACACTGCAAAAAAATGAAATCCACCAATTACAGTTCATATTTTTTATTTTTTAATCATTAAGATTACATATACGTTAAAATTTGATATTTTTGTTTAAAATCGATAAAAATAGCATTTTAATTTTTATTTGGGCCACATTTAAAAAAAAATAAATTTTAATCAAATTGTATGAAACTAATTTAATTACGAGTATTAAAACTAAAAACCTAAAAATGACGGTGTAGCTGAGGACAGAGCATCTGCCTTCCACGCGAATAGCCTGGATTCGAATCTGGACTAGGGGCTAATTTTTTTTATGTTGATTTTATTTTATGAATTAATAAAATTCATAAATTATTTTAAAATTAGTTATTTTGTCTAAACCTAAAATATTTTTTTAAATTTGTAAATTTTCGTTAGTGATTCGTAGAAAAAATATACTGTATAACTCGAGTGGATTGTCCATATCTACTCTTGTTGCACAAACTACTATTTCATGACTGCGAAAATGAGGAAAATTATTGTGATGAAAATTTTTCACTTAATATAAATATATATTATATGATATTTTACACATTTTCATAGATTTGCCAGAATTTGTTTACTTAATTTCAGTATACCTCTAGAACTATTATATATTATATGACTTGGGCTAGGGCTTTAGCCCCCCCAGATCTGATGACATAACTTCGCCCATGCCATGGAGTCTTGAAAAAAAAAAACAGTTAGACCGTGTACTACTTTAAAAATGTCAAGAAACGCCTATAGTATAATCGCTATCAAATGTCCATAAAAATCATTAAAGCGGTTCTCGAAGAAGATCCCACCTTAGATCCGAATCAAAATTCATCTCATACTTTCAGTGAATCAAAACGCTAAATGCAGGGCTATCACTTGGTAATTGTCGGAACCAGGTATTCGAATGAATAGGTATGTGTGGCGATTACCTCTCGCTAACTTAGTTTTTTTTTGTTTTCCAGATTTTAGAAGATTTCATTTACATAATTTATACAACATAATTTATGTAACAATGAGATATCCTTTAGATTAAAATTGTTATTGCACATATTGCATATCTATTTTTCTATTTTACAAATTATTATTCACTACAGTTATATATCAGGTTTAGTACCACTTTAACTTTAGTTCATCCGCTTTTGTATTTGTACGTAACAATTAGATATCTCGTAGGTTTAAATTATATGTGTACTATATACATATTTTTGTACCGTTCAATAAATGGTTTTATTCTTTATCCAAGTTTATTTTTACACAGATATACGCCAATTTAAAATGCCATTTTTTAATATTTTTGTTTTTCTATTACAAATTATGGTGTCAGAGTATCATCAAACGCAAAGACAATAAAATATTTATTATCACAAGCGCATAAAAAAGGAAAGTCTCAGTCTCAACAGGAACAAAAAAAAACTCTGGAAACTCATAAGTTTTGCTATAAGTGTCAGCCCCGGTTCTAGGGGGGGGGGCGAACCCCGTGCCCCGGGCGGCAAATTCAGAGGGCAGCAAATAGTAATTTTTTTTTTATAAATAGGGTTTTGAAATCAATTCATAGATAATCAAAATTTATTTGAATTCTATCTGTGCTAAACAGGTCAAGTGTTTATTGGGTCTTATTAACTGCTTGATCCATAATAGGATAAGTTTTCAATTGCCCAAAACGTTGAGTGATTTTAAAACGATATTAGCTTTAAAAATTCCCAAAATTAAATACCTGTTAAGCATATTAGGTACCTTTTGTACTACCTGTCATAATGCATAATTCTTTTAGTAAGAAATCCTTCTAATGACTTAGAAATGATTCTTGCTTTGGGGAAAACAAATATCTGATTTGTGGAAAGCAGTTAACTACCTGCAATTAGGATAATATATAAAGGAATAAAGCTACAATCTAAATTTATTGTGCTTTTCATTTTTGAAAAAGTTTGTTCTTGAAGTTATTGGTCCTACTTTGTGTTTACTGAAAGTGTTTTTATTACCTATATATTTTTGTGGATGTTATCTGTGTTTACTGTTACTGTTTTTGTTATTATATCTCGTATATAAATAGTGAGAAATAAAAAAAGGTAAGAAAAAAGAAAAAATTAATTAGACTTATCTGGGTGTATGTGTAGTAATAAAAAAAATTATAGAAGTATGATCTCCTAACAATCAGATTATTTCGATTTTTTCTTTTAAAGTTATTGGTATTTTAAACAACTATAAAATGACTGACATTTAACACTGTAATATTACTTTTCAAGTCACACTAAATATCAAATAAAAGATAAAAAAAATTCATTTTCATGTATAGATCAAAATAATAAAAAAATTTAAAATGTGAATTTTGTCACGAAATTTGGTATATGAGGTTGAGTTAGGAAAAACAAGTATTGTACACCGAATGCAATTTTGCGGAACGAAACTCATATCGTTGAGTTTTGCAAATAATGAGGTTTACAAAGTCATTACAATACATATTTTTCGCACTGTGTTTAACATATCAAATTTATGTTTTATAGGTTGAAATTATGAGCGCGCCAAGAAAAAAACTAATGGGAGCGGAATACAGAAAAAAGGTCTTCAGGGAAAACAATATGCGGGAAAGATGAAAAAGTTGCTCAGCGGAGGCGGTGGCCCATCAGTACCTGCCACAGCTTGCGAAGATGTTCAACTAGAGGATATTTCTTGCACTTTGCACGATCCTGATGATCAAAATTTATCACCTGCATCGTCTAGCCAAACTGCGAGAGTGCAAGAACAATTTGAAAGAATTGGGACAGAATACAAAGAATCTGAATCACTCGGATTCGAATGAATGGAAAACCGAAATTGATTTGACAGACCCGGGCAATTGGCCAGATATTAAAAAAATGACCGACCAGCTGTGTTATTAGCAGAAAGTCATCAAGAAAACATTGAATTTAAATCAACTGAACGCGATGGTAGACATTTAACATCTTGTTATGTGGTACAAAACATTGACCAATGACGAAAAGCTTAAAAGATCTAGATTCTAAAACAAAAAATGCAATTTTTTGTGCATGCTGCAAGATTTTTCAGAAAGCTTCCTCTTCCGGTACATCTGCATTGGATTTATTAATTGGAAAAAAGCTTATGAGAGATTAACCGAGCACGAGGCATCTCAAATGCACAAACAGTGTATGATTAAGTGAAAAACTTGAGTTCAACAAATTAAATCATGCCAGGAATGCCAGGATATTGATCAAGACATTGACCGAGTAATTCAAACCGAAAAAAAAAAAAGAAAATAGATCCTGAATATGGTTATGGATACTATATTATATCTAGCATTAAACTGTCTTTCTTTTCGTGATTCCCACGAAACCCCTAGCGATCTCATCACACAATGTCCTCAGCCTGGTCAAGGAAATTTGTTGAATTTAATTTTGCTTCTCTCCAAACATAATTCATTAAGTTTCAATTAGAAAACTTAAAAAAGGGACAAGTATCATATTTGTCAAAAACAATACAGAATGAAATTATTGACATAATGGAAAATACAGTCAGAAATGCATTCTAAACGACATCAAAGAAGCCAAATACTATACAATAATGTTCGATTGCACTCCAGATGTGTCGCATATAGAACAAATGAGCCAGGTCATTCGCTATGTAAAAAAAACTGGTGATGTGTGTGAAATAAAAGAAAGTTTCATTGACTTTATAGAAGTTGCTGGAAAGACAGGAGAGCACATTTGTCAACAGATAATGGAAAAGTTGACAGTTGATGGTTTAGATATCAGAAAATGTCGTGGCCAATCTTATGATAATGGATGAAATATGGCTGGCACCTATAACGGAGTTCAAGCCAGGATTACAGAAAGGAATGAGCTGGCCGAGTTCATACCGTGTTTGGCCCTCTCTTTAAATCTTGCCTCATTATGCCTGGAAGCAATAAATCTATTTGGATTAATTCAAAAAGTATTTTGCTTTTTTGTCGGCTCTACTACTCGATGGGATACTATGAAGAAATTTATTGAAACCAATTTAAAAGAAAGCAGTCAGACGAGATGGTTGGCAAAACATGTTGCTGTGAAAGCCCTCTTAAATAATTTGCCGGAAGTAGTGGAATCCTTGGAAGAACTTAAGCAAACTTCTCATGCTCCGGAAGCAAAGTACGAGGCAGGTAGTTTCTTAAATGCAATAAGGAATTTTAAATTTATATTGAACTTGACGATTTGGGCAAATATTCTCCGCGAAATCAATCGAGTGAATATTGAAATACAAAAGCAAGATATAATCCTTGCGCGTTCCGTCTCTTTAATGGATGGCCCGATGAAAACTTTACAAAAAATGAGAGAAAATTCAATTGAATATTGAATAGAAGAGGCTAAAGAAGTTTCTGGAAAAATTGGCGTCGAACCTATTCTGCCAAATAAACGAATTCCGATGTGCAAAAAACAATTTTACGAGATGTGTGATGACGAATCACGAACACTTCAAGCAGTTAAACTTTTTTCTCAAGCAACAATGATTGTATTTTATAGAATCTTATCAGAAATTAAAAAGAGGGTTGATAGTGCTACCACGTTGAATTCGAATTTTGCTTTTCTAAATGGTAGTAAAATTTCGACTATATCAACTGAAGAACTGCAAAAGCATGGAGCAGATCTGGGACGAAAATACGAGCGAGATTTAAATGCGGTTGAATTCTGCCAGGAATTCTACGTTTTTAAAGAGCAAGGTCTACTTTTATTTGGAGATATAAAAAATGCTAGCGCTTTCAATCTCTTGCAACAGATTTATATGCATGATTTGTAGGATGCCTTTCTCAATACTTATTTGTATTGCTCTAAGAATTTACTGTACGCTTCCTACTACATCCGAAAGCTGCGAGCGAAGTTTTAGCAAACTTAAACTTATTAAAAATTATCTTCGATCTTCGATGAGCCAGGAAAGTTTATCAAGTCTTGCCATATTAGCAATAGAAAATCAAATTGCTCATCAAATTAATTATGATAAAGCCATAGATTTGTTTGCAGATCAAAAGGCTCGAAGAGTAAAATTATAATTTCAATGTGTAATTTAATAATAATTTTAACCTCATGTTAGCCTCAGCCAACAGATGAGGTAGAAGTTGAACACTTTATAAGAGAGCTAAAAATAAATAAAGCACCTGGTTTAGATAAATTAACTCCACAAATTTTAAAAATGACTGTACATCAACTGAAAACTCCATTAGTTTATATTATAAACAAGATAATTGAAACTGGATACTTTCCAGAAAATTTAAAAAAGGGTCTAATAAAACCATTACTTAAAAAAGGAAACGCTAAGCTTATGTTTAATTACAGACCAATATCACTTCTTTCAAATGTTACTAAAATAATTGAAAAAATATTAAAGAAAAGAATTGTCTCTTTTTGTGATAAATATAATTTAATTTCTGAAAGTCAGTTCGGTTTTAAAGAAGGAATATCAACTGATGATGCTATAATACATTTAACAAAAAATATTTATTAAAGTCTAGATAATAATAATGTTGTGCTATGTCTATTTTTAGACCTCGCCAAGGCCTTCGATACGGTCGACCACAAAATTTTGATTGATCGCCTCGAGGATCAGGGATTTAGAGGAACAGCTTTAAATCTAATGAAATCATACCTACACAACAGGATCCAATATGTTCAAATCGATGATATTGTCAGTAAGCCATGTATAGTAGAATATGGAATACCACAGGGTACTGTTTTAGGGCCTATCCTTTTTAATATTTATGTGAATGATCTTTTTAAACTGGCATCATTAGGAAAAATTTCATCATTTGCTGATGATACCGCAATTATTTATCAAGGTACCAGTTGGACAGAAGTAAAGCATATGGCTGAAAAAGATATAATAAATGTTAAGAGATGGTTCGATAATATGTCTTTAACAATTAATTTTGAAAAAACCAATTATATACCCTTTACTTCCAACCGTGTTAAAAACCCTGAATTTACAAACATAACATTACAGTCAGAAAATAATATCAAGATTTACGAAGTAAATCATATAAAATACTTAGGGGTGGAAATAGACAGACATCTTAAATGGGATGTGCATATAAAAGGCTTAGTAAAAAAGTTAAGATCTATTTTGTACAAATTTAAATGCATCAGAAAAATATTGGATAATACTCATTTAGAAATGGTGTATTATTCATTGGTGTACTCACATATCCAGTACGGAATTACAGCTTGGGGAGGCGCTTATAATAACCATATCAAACATCTTGAAATTATGCAAAAAAAATTTATTAAAATAATCTATAATCGAAACTATGATTATCCAACAACCTCTCTCTTTATAGAGAGTAAATTACTTGACATTAGACAAATTTATTTACAAAAAGTAGTTACTTACCAACACAAAAAAAGACGCGAACTATTAGATATTCAACACGAACATAACACCCGGCATAAATTAAGAATGAAAACAAAAACAATAAAAGTTTACAAATCAGCAACCCAAAAAAGTTTGTTATATATAGCGCCTCACATATATCGCTTTGTGCCTGAAAAAATTAAAGAAATAAAAAATTCCAAAAGCTTTGGTAAAAATGTTAAGTTTTGGTTAAAAAACTATCCGGGAAAAAAGTTTAAATATTTATTTGAATGAAAATTAATCCTGTCATCAATATTTTTGTTCACACACTTTTTCTAATTACTTAAATAATTAATTTGATTTATTTGTATGTACATATTTAGGTAAGCTTTAAAAGATACATATATATTTTTAGTTTTTAGGAATATAATCTATTAAATTGTAATAATTAACTTTTCTTTTAAAAGAGAAGGAAAATATAGTTTTTTCCCACGTACTAGTCGTAAGACTTCAGTGGAGATATTTATTTTCCATCTTCATTTGGAAAAGATATGTATAAAAAAAAAAAAATGTATGTAAATTGTAGAATTTGGGAAATAAAATTATTATTATATTATTATTATTATTAATTCAGACCCTATTCTGAGCTAACCTAATTAAAATATATGTCCGAGTCCGACACATCCTGGTATTTTTCAAAAAAATATTGGCTTATCAGAGAAAGAGCAGCGGTATACCAGTAGTTGTATGGTTATTTGGGGGAGGCCTATGTCTATCTGTGGCGGGTGGGGGCGGCATTCTTCAGTTTTTGCCCTGCCTCAAAAAAATTCAAGATCCTGGGCCGATAAGTGTCGATTATCTTAATGAACTTTAGATTAATTACTTATCATCCCTGCAATAGTAATTACCCCTTTCTTTGTATACATATTTATATTATCTGACTATAAATTTCATTCTATCAAAATTAAAAAAATAATGTAAAGTCGAAGAACGGTAAATGAAGGAGTTAGTTTAGAGCGATAACTACTATCTCCAAAGTTCACGTAAAGGTATTCGTCATATAGAATTGCACTAAATGCAGGTTATAGGTACATTTATCTATAAATCACAGATAAGCTCAAAGTAAGATTACAAGTAAAGTACGTACCTACAGCTTCTAGATAACATTAACTGTAATCAGTGTCGGACTGGCCCGGTCGGCATCTGCCGACGGGGTCAAACCCTTTTGGGGGCCAACGGTCGAGCATTATAGATATAAATCAAACCACCATCATAAAAATGTTGTTTACAATAATTCAACGAAATCTAGTAAACTGGCAACATTGGTGCGTCTAGACGTAGTCTAGGCTGCTAAGACAATTTGTTCCACGTTGATACTTGTTTTTTTTTTTAGAAATTTCTGCAAATATGAAACTCTTTTAATATAATTTATTATGATAAAACATTTTGAATACGTGAATCCCGCCTCAAATTATCTTGAGACAGAAAATATTGACTCTATCTAAGCATACCGTTTGGTAACAAATCTAAAGCAATGCTAAATGAAATATATGACAAATTTTAATTGTTAAAAAGACGAATGCATGTTTAAATTATATAAATCAAATTGAGACCATTAGAAACAAAGATATTGTTATTGAACATGAGCTGCCACAACAAAGGTTAAGGAAAAGGAAGCGTACCTATGGTAGACGAAACAACTGAAGATTCCGTTATTACCGATCCAATGAAAAAAATTTGAAGTTGAAGTATTTAAATTAGTAATTAATCAGGCAATCCAAAGTATAAGTCTGAAGCCAACAAATAAATTTATCAAGATTTTTCAGACCTTGACTCCAGAAATTTTAAAAGCTTGTATTTATTAAGCGACTCCAAATTTACTAATATTGCAGAAAGATTGGGATCGATAATGTAGGAATAAAAAATGAATTATTGAGTTTCACACAAATATACCCGGATAATAAAAAAAAATGTAAAAACAGACCTCTGCATAAATAAGTGTGAAATAAATGAATGAGTAGGTTGCGTACACTGTACTTTTAAAATTTTAAGAGAATACATTATGCATATATCCACTTTTTCAAATTTGTATATGGCTTATAAGTTTTTAATTACTTTGTCTTGTACCCTAGTGGCATGCGAACGAGTATTTTCTTTATTAAAAATAATTAAAAATAGACTTAGATCTTTATTAGGCCAAGAATTATTGCAGGCCCTAATATTAATGAATACGGAAAGATACATCTTAAATAGTATTAACCTAAAAAAAATTAACGATAAGTTAGCTTCCACAAGCTCAATTTATTATAATGCTTTGACTTTTCTGATGGTGTATTTTTATTTTTTTTATGTTGTTTAAGAATGGTAGTTTTATTTTGTTTTGTGATTTTGTACGTGTATCTGTTTATTTTAATTATTTATGTCTGTTGACAACGTTATATTTTGTGATAGAAATTTTTAGTCAGATTTAGTTAAATAATACTTACTTATTTGCACTCCTATTTTTGACTATGTAATATTAATTTTCTTATTTGTTGTTGTTTATGGAAACCGGTTTTTTTTTTTAATGTTAAATTGCGATTTTTTTCCTTTCTTTAGTTTTATTTTTATTCATTTTTGTTATAATATCCAAAAAAATTTCGTTTTGTTGTATATTTAAAAAACTAAAAATGTTTTATATAAAAATTAACCTTTATTTTTCATTTATTACCTACACAGTATTTATATTATGTTTTAAACGCATAATTTTACAGTTTTTTAGATTATTTGAAACGGTCGTAAAGTACTTGAAATTTCATGATTTTGGACTATCTACTATTTAAACGATTTATGCGCATCTCGTGCGTCGCAACTCGGGCGGAATACTTAATTTTTCGCATTTAAATATTATGTAACTTTCATAAAACAAGATTTTTTATTTATCTTTCTCTGCGAAAATAGTCTTTATATTACATTGTTATGACATTTGAAATTGTCGTTTTTATTGAAAAAAGTATAATTTATTTTTTATATAAAAATTAGATTGATACATAATATAGTGTACCTACCTCGGCTAGCTATTTAATTTTTATTTTAATACATTTTTAATGTACAGTGTGTGTTTGTGTAAGTTGGCTACATATGGAAAACTTTTTTTTTAAAGTTTTATCAAAAAAAATTATTCAGCATAAAAAGTTGTGCATGGTCTAAAACCTAAAATACAACCATTAGATATCACATTTTTTACCCGGTAGCCAACTTACGTAGAATAGGTTTATGTTGGTTATGTTGTAAATGGCCAAGACTTGAAAAATTTCTCATTTGTAAGAAGAGGAAGAAGATGGGTTATGTTGTAGTCATTTTATTTTAAGTAATATAATTTTATTTCATCCTATATCCAGAGACAACCATATATTCTAAATAATTGGAAGTTTGCGTCTGTTTGTTGGATACATTTCTGAAATATCGGTATGTTA